GTGACTCCCGTGTCTCTGTCCTGCTGACCTAGCTCTCCGCGGACGGAGCATCCCCGTGTGCGGCGCGCCCGCAGGCACCCAGGGTGGGGGGCAGGGAGGGGCTTCTCTTCACGGGCAGAGCTGGAGCCATGATGACTTCGTCCGAGTCGTCCGAGGAGACGTCTTCCCAGGGCGCAGACGAGGGAGAGGGCTCGGCTGAAAGGAACCAGAGGGGGAGGGAGGGGTCACCCCCTGCCCTCTCCTGGCAGGACGTCCAGGGTCACTGCCAGAGCGGTCGGACCCGCGTCACACGGCCACGGCCTCTCCCGTCACCGCCTAGTCCCCCCAGCCTCTCGGCTCAGCTCCGAACACGGGCCTTTCGACACGCAAACGCCGGGAGAGGCAGCCTTGCCAGCACCGGCACCGGCACCGGGAGGCTGAGTGTGGGCAGGCTCCTGAGCCGCCCTGGCAGCAGGTCCGGGCCGGGTGGGCGGTGGCGGCGCAGAGGCTGTGCCTGGGCCACCAGCTTCCTCCTGAGCATCGCCCATCGGGGCGGAGGCAGGACCACCCAGCAGCCACTCAAGCTGTGTGCCCACTGCACACTGGGCTGCCACAGCCAGGCGAGGGGCCCTGGGACCAGGGGACAGTGTGTGCGTGGGGGGCAGGCCCCACGGAGAAGGCTCCCGCTCCCCGGCTTCGCGGGATCGGAGGGAAACGTGGCTGAGCCGGCGGTGAGATGAGGCGGGCTCTTGCTGCATCGGCTTCCTTCTGTGACTCTCGGAGAAATGACCACCAAAGCGGAAACTTAGGAAATTAAAAACATCGCCCTGGCCGGTTGGCTCAGTGGAGAGAGCATTGTCTTGGGGACCGAGGGCTAGGGTTCGATTCTGGTCGAGGGCACAACCTTGGTTGCAGGCTCCTCCCTGACCCGGGCCCTGGCCAAGCTTGTGCAGGAGGCAACCCATCGCTGTCTCTCTCACATCGATGTTTCTCTGTCTCTCCCTCTCTCTCCCACTCTCCCTAAAAACCAATGGAAAGATACCCTCAGGCGAGGACTAACAAAACGAAAAGACCACACAGGCCTTTTCCCTTAAAAACGCCGGCACCCAGAGGAGCCGGGGCTCACGGACCGGCACAGACGGGCTCTGGGGAGCAGGCTGCACCCGGGACGCGCCTGCGCCGCTGTGTGTGGTGGAGGCGAGGCCGCCGGGAGGCGCGTGCACACATGGCAGCCCCATCACAGGACCCGGCTGCCACGGGGTCTGCTGGGCCGGGAGCCCGGAGCCCCAGTGCAGGGGCTGGGGCGGGGTCCCAGGACTGTGTGCGGAGCTTTACAAACGGAGGTTTGGAGAGAATATCGGAGTTCGAGAGCCGGGACAAGGCTGCAAAAGGCGATGAGGTGGCAATTTCCGATGAGGGATTCCGGGTGAGCTGTGCGCAAACTCAGCTTGTCCTCAGCTCCCCTCCCCGCACCCCCTGCAGGGAAGGGGTGTTGGGCCAAGGGCGCCTCCTTCCCAGCCCCCACGGCTGCTGCTGCCACGGCTCCCACTCACCAGGGCAGGGCTGCGGGGCTGGGCCCTCCATGGCGTCCCTGCCACTCACTTCACCGTCCTCCTGACCTGAGACACAGGCCAGAGGCAGTCAGCACCGGGCGGGGCCCTCATGCCCGCCGTTCTCCCGACACCTTCGGTTCCGAAAAACGCCGCAGGCGATCGCTGCGCTGGGTGCACAGATCCCGGCCACTGCGCTGTGCACCGACCCTCACACCACCTCATCCCTCGATGACACCTCGGAGCCCAACGGCTGCTTCCTTCCGTAGATCCCTGATTGGGAGCACGCCCGCCTGCCCACCTCCTCTCACTCCGTCTTTCCCACCCGAGGACGAGGACGCAGCGGGCCAGCGGGAAAGGCTGCCGGTGACACAGCACCTGCTGGCGCCTGCCCACAGCCCGAGCTGCAGGCTTCGCTGGCCAGTCTCAGATCTCCACCCACCCGGGCTCATCCTCCCTCCAGCAGGTGGGATGAGCTGCCCAGTTGTAGGAGGTGGGAGGATCCCCAGGACAGCAAGGAGCAATTCCCAGCTGCCACCTCGCATGGCGGCCCACCAGGCTCCGACCTCACAGGCCCGCCACCCTGGTTTCCACCCTGGTTTCCAAGCGGCGGCTCTGGGCCTTACTGAGTGGGAAAGGAAACTCGAGCCATTCTTTACTTAAAACCCAGCCCCAGGGAGCACTGGCTGAGGGAGGGCCCCCAGCTGGAGCCGAGAGCAAAGCCGGGACGCCTGCCTGCAGCTAGGACCGGGTGCTGGCAGGTGACTGGCCTGCAGGTGACTGTGGGTTTTGAGTCCCAGGAAGTGCCTGGGGCTCTGTCTCTCCCACAGCCTGGGGAAGGGGCGGAGCTGTGACGGGGAGGCTGGGTGAGGGCTCTGGCCAGGTGAGACCCTCACTCCGCTCCACGTCCTGTGCTTCCGCGTGGTGGCTGTTTGGCCCTGGCACCGACACTCAATGACCTGGACTTACCAGCAGGCGCCACAGGGGGGGCTGGCGGGGAGGGCGCGCTGAGTGTGGCCGGAACAGGCGATCTGGTAGAGGCTGCAGGGAGTGCCCCGGTCCTGGAAGAGAGCGACCGCAGCTGACCACCGCCGGGCTTGCTGGCTTCCTCGGGCCACTGGCCTGACAGAATGGGCAGCAGGTAGCTGCGCCCGGCCGAACCCCATCCTGATAGCTGGCCGTGGGGGCTCCCCGAGTCCTCAGTCAGCCTCCCGCATGCTCGCTGAGGCCGGGCCTCAGACACCCCTCCCTGCTGTCTCGGTGGTGAGGCCGCTATCCACCTGCCGGCCTGGCTGAGTGCCCAGGGAGGACCTGCCACGGTCGTACGGCGGCCCCGCCGGACCGTGCAGTTCTGACTCGGCTGCCCTTCTGCATAGCGCAGCTGTAGACCTAACAGCGTGGGGCCGCGTCTGCCAGGCAGGCCGAGAAGCGGAGGTGTGTGGGGGCGAGGGAGCAGTGCCCACGGGACCGGGAGGGGCCTGTGCTTCCCAGGCAGCAGACACTGTGGTGCGGGACGCCCGCTGAGCTCACTGCGGACCCCCCCTGGACCCCACCCGTGGGCTGAGTTCGCTCAGAGGGCTGAGTGCTTGCAGCCAGGAGTCCTGCCTGAGGGGCAGCGTGACCAGCAATGGCACTAACTCTTCAGGACGGTGTGGCTGCAGGAGGCCCGAGCCCAGGACGGCCCCGTGGTTCCTCAGAAAGGGGGATGCGCTAGGACGTGGGGCAGCCAGTCCACCAACTGGGCTCTGCCAGCCACACGGGTCTCACTCTCCTACCTGACCCTCCCCGTCTGACCAGGACAGTGGCCCACCCACCTGCACGGCACGGGAGCAAGTTTCACAAGGTGCAACTTTTGCTCTGGTGACGCCGTGGTCCCGGCTCGCCCCTGCGCCTGGGCGCGCCTGTGCGGAGGATATGGAGCGGGCCTGCCAGGCAGCTTACCTGTGCCTGACCCGTGCCAGGTGCGCCCGGAAGACTGACTGGATGAGGGTGACGGCCGCCTCCTGCCTGGGGTCGCCCTCAGCCCGGACAAAGGGGCTC